GCGAGCTCATAGCGTTGGCAGCTGCCCTTGGTGCACGGGAGCTCGTGCCGCCGAGATGTGCCCTAGAGCAAGGAGCTCGCTCTTGTAGCCTTTCCTGCGGTACAACAGAAGGTGAAACAGAGTATTAGCGGCGAGATGTTTTAGTGGCGCCCTCCTGTGGTTACCTTTCGTGACGTCATTACCTCACGAACAACAGGTTCGATGGTGTTTGTAAGGAGCGTGGTGGAAGCTTGAAATCATTGCGCTCTTAAAGCAACACTACCAGCACCGTCGAAATTGAAGTTCTTCCATTCCTCTTATTTCCGTCGATGATAAATCCTTTGCTGACGTCATAGTCAGCATTCGGCCAATCGCGGAAGGCCGACCACAGCGACGCTTTCGATCGCGCACGTCGCCAATAGACCTTTCCAGCGGCAGTCTCGAACGAAGCGATTTCCAGCGCGCATCCCTGGTTTTGAGAGTGTACGTCTGTGTTGCCCGACTGCGCTGAGCTGTGGGTTTTCTCGTCAGTAGGCTGTGGCAGCCTGCGTAGGAGCAATTTTGAAAGCTGGTGGCGGCAAAATCGACTCGCTTTATTTTTTCTTTCGTGTTCTATGGCAAAGAGAATTTCTCGAAATTATTAGGAAAGCGTTGAACTATTTTTGAGAACAACAACAAACAAATGAAAGCTATTTTCGGCGAGTCCGTGCGCGACAGAACAAATGCAACTGAGATGTTTGTTCCATTTTATGCTGATCTTTTTAATGACACCATACACTCAGACGTGGCAACCTACAAAGATCTTAAATGTCCAACATATTTGACCACACCAGAGGATAGCCGAACTGCAAGGGTATTGCCCCCTCACTATATGAAATTCAACGAGTATCATCAATCGAACAACATATATTGTACGTACCCCACGGTGCCGCGTTATCCGAACAGGATTTGAGGAAGGTCTCAAATAACACAGCATATCCAATATATAGTGTCGACGATAGTCACTTCACGACGATCGGACGAAATCCGGCTTGTCTTGGGGTACGTTTTGAAGAGGGATGCTTTTTTACGCAGTTCTAAAGCAAATGAACGAACGTGTCTATTCAGAATTTCAGTTCCACCATACCCCGGACTAGGGTGCCTACATGTTTCCGGAAACATGTAGGCACCCTACCCCGGACCCTATCAGCTACTTCTCGCCAAGACCGGGAACATATCCGGGAAGGCTTTTCGGAGATTATCTCAACGGAAATAATCCTTGAAGAACGTCGAACGGCCAGCGTCGCGGGCTGCTTGACGTTAGCTTTCTTCGCTCGCTCTCTTTGTTCATTTCCTGCGAAGGTCCAGCAGGCTACGAGCCCTGGTATTCCCTGGTTCTCACAGTGGAAGATTACAAAAACACGCAAGCGTCCTGAACAGGCAAATAGAGTAAACACTTTCAAGGAAAGCCGGCGAACTCCGAACACACAATACAGGAGGGGAGTCGCGCTGACCGGGTTTCCACAGCTCAGGCGGGTGGCAGAAAATTTTTGGCTGATAGGGGTCGCTCGAGTCGCAAAATGGCGGCGGCCAGCGAGCAGTTTAAAAAAAATCAGTATTTCAAATCTTTTTTTTTTTTTTTAATTTTTGCGGTAGGCAAAGGGTTAATGAAATGTTTGATGGGCCATGTTGCAATTGCAGATTTAAAGGGAGCCATCATTAAAGGCCAACTTAATTTAAAAAGTTCGCGAACAAACAACGAGCTTTGAGCGAAAGTAACAAGGCGTTCGTTTTTGTTGTGTTTGTCCGTCCATTTTCGTTTCTTCCTCAATCTTAATTATCTCTACCAACCCGCTCGTTCTGTCCTGAGATATTCATAGCTAAAATTTTGCCTTTCTTCACTTAATTAAAGAAAACTGCGGGCTGAAAGCGCGAATGAGGTTGTGCTGATATTGATGCGTAGAAGAATGACGCAGGTTGTTCCTGTCCCTCGTCACTAACTCGACAGCGTTTCTTCGGTGGACTCGCCGGCGCCACACATCAAGACGACTAAGTTACTATTCTACGCATTATTTTCATAACGCGGTTTCTGAATCAAGCGAAGAAAGCAAACTTTTACGATTAATTTTGCGAACCTCGTTGCCTTTTCGCGAATTGTCGAAATTGTATTTGCCTTTAATAATGACTCCTTTTAAAACTGCAATTGCACCATGGCCAATTAAGCCGTTAATAAACAAGTTAACTAACAGAACTTGGTTCATTATTAAACATTGCAACGGTTATTCAGCCATTCATTGTCCACCGAGCCCTACAGATATAACGAAAGACGGCATCCACATCCTTTTTTTTTTGTAAAATATGTAAAGTTCTGTAAAGAATAAAACAAAATCACCCTGAATGTCTGCGTGAACCAGATACGCCCCCTGTGGAACCGTGGGTGTTTCCCTTCGAATACCCAGCTCAGGCGAGACTTACCTCGTTGTCAGAAAGCAGCCGTCGGTTAAATGTATTGTTGTGAGCGTGTAGGTTTCAGATGGTTTACCCTCAAGAGGATGATGCGCTGCATATTGTAACCATGTATGCGCTGCACATTGTAGCCATTATTTCAATGCCGTGCTGTAAACTATTACAACTTTTTCCTTGCCTGATCTACGTGTGCTCATGTTTTCTGCTCAAAATGATGTGAAATAGTTTCTTGTTTTCTTTGAATCTTACAAAGCATTACTTGTTCAGCCCACAATGTCTCAGTTTTTGGACAGTTAAATGTTAAAACGTGTGATAAAAATTGTCACGGCTTATAAGCCATTTCTTACAAGTGAACGTCGGGTGATTCTCGGATGATCGTGGCAGCCACGAAGAAATAGAAGATTCTCACCCCTTTGCGACCGTCGCTTGAGTGATTCGTCGCATAAATGGACACAAGAATGAGTGACAAGTGAAGCGAGCTGACTAAGGTCAAGAAAAAAAAGACGGGCAGAAAAGAAGACAGAGAAGTTAACCTGGGGTATTAAAAACATACTAAAACAATCTCGAACTTTAGTATGTGCCGTTTCGTTCCGTTATAAAATAAGATAGGAAAAAAAAAAAAAAAAAACTGCTTCCGAGTTTTAGATATTCCTTTCAAATATCTAATGTTCGGCATTTGGGACCAAGGAAATGGGCATTTCATTTAAAATGCTCACCCTCCGACAAACCGAAACCGCTTCTTTAAAGTCGCAATTGTTTTTATGTAAAGGAAGGGTAATGTAGCTTGTACCGTCCAATATATTGAAGCATCATGTTGCTAACGATCGTGCCGCAGCGTAATTGATGACGCGGTACGACTGCTGGCAGGTCGTAGCTGTATCAGAAATCCTACGTGCACTCCACCAAAGCGGCAACAAATAGCGAGTTCGTTTCACGGCACTCGTGCCCACGCGTGCCCACTCGCAGCGTGGAACGGGTTCGTTTCGGCCGGCACTCCACGAGCGGTTGCACTCTCCGAGTTCGTTTCAGCGCTGACACCCCACTCGTGCATGCACTCGCTGCACCGAGAAAATCGGGAGTGCGCCAAAATGCAATCCCGTCATGCATCGCTCCGGCGGGGCCGGCGAGGAGCGGGAGCAGACGACGAGGGTTCGTCTGCTACGATGTGTCGCGGAACGGAAAAAAAGTAGATTTTCTGATAGAAATCGCGTCCCGCGGGCCACGAAATCAAACGCGAGCTTGAATTGTGAGCGTCTGCTATTTCCCAAAGGAAGCAATTGACAACCCGTGATTTATTTGCAGGTTTTAAATCGCTTTGTTGCCGTACAAACGCTGAAATATACCAGTGTGTAAAGGAATGCTCAGAACAAACGTAACAGCGGCCCCCGAGATATCTATCACCATCCGTGTGCGGGTGAAAAATTTAACATTTGTCGACAAAACTCCCCCAGCAGAAACCTCTGACTGCCCAATAAGCACCAAAGAAAGCTAAAGATGTTAACTTTACCCGAGGATTGGGCAACATCACCATTTTTAACATTTACCTACGTCAGCTAACTTGCCCCGTCGTATTTTGTTCGAAAATGCTCTCGTTCTCGACGCCCTCACCAAGGCTAATATCTGATCCACCTTTAATGACGATCCAAATAGAAAGTCCCAGTTTTGCTGGATATTCCAACAGGCTAGTTTTAAGCCGCACCCTTTCAGTGGTTCACGCATAATACCATGCTCAAACGGATCATGCTTGTGCTCGGACAGCATCATCAGTTTTCTTCAGTGTAAACGGTTATAAGAATTGAAAGATCGCAACCAGCTGCTTTGTAGACAGCTGGTTGCGGAAATTTACGCCGTCTGTAACTATCTCTACGGCAGCCGAGCTGCTTGAAGTCATCGCAACTATAAACTACAAATTGCAGCGACCAACGTTTGTAGATAGACGTTGGTAGCGACTGCATTCTCGCATTCCTACGCATCATTCCGATCAGAAAGCCGCTAGTTTCGTTTTGAAGTCGGTACCTTTTGTACAACATAGATGGCGGCAGCATCAGTCTTCTGTGCTCGGTGCATTTGGCGAGTTCGTTTGAGTCCAGTTTTCCGTGCAACACTCTGAGAGTGCGATGCATTCTGGGAGAGAACTCGAACAGTGCCAGTGCGTGTGAAACGAACTCGCTAAAAGATTCATATTTTTGCGCGTGCAGCCGCGCATGCGCACACCTTCCGGATAAGGCGCCGGACGCGACACCTGTCGCAATCAATACCACGCGCTTCAGGCGAGCCCCTTCGGTCCCAACACTACCCAAGTATTCCAGTACACTGTAGTTTGAGTCCAGTTTTCCGTGCAACACTCTGTGAGTGCGATGCATTCTGGGAGAGAACTCGAACGGTGCCAGTGCGCGTGAAACGAACTACATGGCGACGTTAGCTCCATTGCGACTAGCGGAGATTACAGAAAAAAATGAGGCTACATAGGTAAAACGCATAAACAATCAGATAAATATTTACAGGGTACTTCTTATTATTATTAAATTATAGAAACGTCAAACTGGTATGTGACGGATCTCTCTTGCACATAATCCAATCCAATCCAATATAATCCAAATACAAAGATGGCGGCTTTAGAAATGGTAGGCTGCAAGCGGTTTTTAGATACATTCAAGGAGCTGTAGATTAGTAAACTACCTATGGCAGCATCTTAATAAACTACAGAAATATGCAGACAGAAATGAGCAACCTTGCCTCCCTCCTTGATAAAGCGTGCACTGTCAGCGATGCCAGTAACACCAAAAATGTCATCAGAAAGGTGGGTGTTCACCCAATCAACGTTAGATCTCTCGGCTTTGAATCTTCGGTCACTTCTGCCTTTGGTGTAATCTACTATGTTTGAATATTTGGATTCACAGGTGCACCTGCTGCTAGTAAAAGGGCGCGACTTGACTCCTTTAACCGGACGAATTGTGAAGTTTCTGTCTTCCCAGGACATACTGGCGAAGAAAGTAGCGTGCCTTTTTATTTCGAGGTGAGTCACGCATTTACCGTGCACCCTCACCTAAGGGTATCACCGCTGCACCTTGCGAACTGCGTGTAATTCCAGTTGCTTTTAACGCAGGCTGAAACATCCACAAGATGCCGGCCTACTTGCCATCAACTCGCTCCTGAAGGACACAAAGGACCCCAACCCACTCTATCGCGGCCTTGCCTTAAACACCCTGTTCGATGTTCCATCCACGATGGAACAGGGAGTCCCCAGGCTTGTGCCTGCCTTAGAAGACAACAGCGCTTATGTCCGAAGAGCTGCGGTTTCTTGCTGCGGCAAACTTTCGCGCTTCTATCCTACCATTGTTGATGAGCTTGATCTAACCGACAAGCTTTACGCAATGATCAGGGATCAAGACCCCATTGTGGTTGTACAGTGCCTTCATATCCTGGACGAAGTGTTGGAGTCGGAAGGTGGCATTACGGTGAATAAGAAGATTGCCTGGTACCTCCTCAAACAGTTGCCAGCCTTTCACAGCTGGGGTGTCATCGGCGTGCTTGAGTGTTTAAAGAAGTACCAGCCGAAAACGAGTGAAGAGGCTCTAATGATTGTGAATGCCCTTGACGCATATTTGACATCCAATAATGTTGCCGTCCAACTAAGTGCCTTCGCTTTATTCCGACATACCATTCGTGGACGGCTTGACCACCTGCTGAGAGAGGCTATAGGCCAAGTGTGGTCGAAGCTTTCAATTCAACTGTCCTTCAGTGCGCAGGAGATGGCATGGAACATTTTAGATTGGGGGGAAGAGTTTTTACTTGACTACCCAGAGGTGTTCAGACCCCGCTACCGTCTTTTTTACTGCCGATTCTCAGACTCGCCGGCACTGAAGAGAAAGAAATTGGCCGTTTTACAGAGTCTGGTCGACAAGGAGAATGTGTCCGAAGCTGCGGACGAGATCTTGGGTTATTGCACAGATCTGGATCGCGACGTTTGCAGGTGTGCGCTACGAACTCTCGTCAGCCTAGCCAACCAGCATGAGGTTGCGTGCGAGGTTGTCCGTTCCCGGGTACTCCCCTTGCTCGACGTGTCGGACGAAGTGCTCGTCACGGAAGTGCTGTGCGCACTGTGTGCTTTAAGGTTTGATAAGAAGAGTGGCTCTTTTCAAGAACGAATCCTCGAGACAGTAATGCAAAGGAAGTGGAGCCTGACAAGTGTGGATGCCAAGTGCGGTGTAATTGACTTCATTTCGGAGCATGGTCAGGATTTTGCACCGTCGGTGTATATCCTAGAAGACTATGCAGCTAGTATAGAGGAGGAGGACGAGCCTGTGAAGCAGTCCCTCCTAGGTGCCACCGTAAAAATGTTCTTTTCGAGACCATCGGAACTGCAAGACCTTCTTGGCACTGTCCTCACTGCTCTCTGCAAGGACAGTAACCCATTTGTAAGGGCACAGGCCAATTGGTACTACGTAGCTTTGCTCCACAATGTTGCAACATCCAAACAAATTGTCCTTGGCTCTTGACAATTTCTCAGCAGTACCCCAGGCCACTTGTTTATATGTGAAATAAATTGTAGCAAATGGCTTTATACTTGTTTTTGTTTTATTGCCATCTCTGTGAGGCGATCATCCCATTTTATTATACACTATAGCCTATAGTACATTCACAAAATAGGGAGGCTCAGTCCTCCTTACTGTAGATTTCTGAAGAGTTGAGTGCAGATGAATTCAGGAGCTCTGCGAGTTTTTGTCTGCAAGAAAATTAAATTACAGACATTATTCACCAGACTGTATTGTACTGTAGATTGTGCATTGTAGCCTTACTTTGCGTTTTCTGACAGCTTCTTGATGTTTTCACCCTGTCTCAGGTGCTCCCCCACATCTGTCAGCCCAATCTCGGCAGCATACCTTGCACAGAACTAAAATGAAACAAAGTTTTGGGCTCGTACAATGGAATTGTTCAGTTTTCTAAAAATCACCTTTCCAAAGTTTTGAACTTACAAGAGCTTTTGTTTCATCGGAGTTGTCAAGACAGGCCTGGCAGAATTTCTTCAAGCATTCTTGCCTAAAACAGATGTAAGAAACATGCATTTATTTCCACTAGGTAAAACAAAAGGAGTGTCAACATTTCTCAGCCCATCCCAAATCCTTGATCATCGCATCCTAGCAGAGCCAAAGGTTAGACAGAACTCTTTGTCTGGCAGATTGTGGTTATATGCTATGCAAAATGCAAAAAATATGTTGGCAGACTTAAAGTGGTTTCAGGCACAATTCTTTTTTATGTACGAGTCTGCCTGCTACCATAAGCTAACATGCACTGCCTTGAATTAATGCCTTGGCACCTGGGGTCTTTATCAGGCAACTTATTCACCTTTTCCACAAACAATTTCAAGAAGACTAATTTGTATTTTGCTGTAAAGAATGGATCGCGATTGAGAGATTTTGTCACAACAAGCACAAAATAACAGATCTCGAGCACAGAGCTGCCCTGGAGATCTTTTCCACGGTGTTTTGTTTACCAACTATGTTGCACAAACACTGGATAGCCTGTGGTATCCCGACTTTTTTGGGATGCACTAGCGTTTGGCGGTAGCTCACGCAGGTAATGATGTGAGCTAGCACCCATCCTTCGGTTAGACTACAAGCAACTAGGTATATTTCAGTGCATACGGTCACAATCCCAGTTCACTACTCAACGAACAAAGCGACCTGTTCTAGCTCCAGAAGTTATGGAGTGTTAACTTTTAGAATGTTTTTGGAAGACTTGGGGTAGGCCTAACTACCTACCGGCTACACACCAAGATGACCGGGCAAACGGACTCCCAGCACCGTAGACAACAGTGAAAAGGACTGCACGTGTTGGGTCACGGAATACTTACTCAGGATATCCAAGTATTCGATGCTGTTCCTTGTCAAGTTTCTGCATAATCTGCCTGTTCAAGAAAAGACAGACCCACATTGTGAATGGCCAACACTGCTTGCAAAACGTAACCTTGTCTACTTACCAAGCGTCCTGAAGCCTCTCTGCATTCAGGAACACACTGATCATCTTGCCAAACATCTGTCCTGTCCACCTATGGCAATAAGAAAGTACTTTTGAAGTAGCAGAAGATTCTGTCAGTATTTTCTATTGTAAGAAAGAAATGACTGTTCTTCCTTCCAAACAACATGTTGTGTAACTTGAGAAGAAAAAAAAAATAAAGAAAAAAGACAACAGTGAATTATTGGGGGCTCTATGTCACAGCAACTAGAGCATGCTGAACAGGGGTTATGACCTTTGCCCCAGAAATTTCCTGAAGGGATTACCCATGATTAAAATCCTGCACTTTGTGCTCTAAAGGCCAGAATGGAACCACAGCAGCACAGAGGCAGCCACGAAGGTGGAAGGAATGTGCACAGTGCAATTAACCGAAGTCTGCATCATTTATACTCTAAATTACTACATAGTCTACTTCATTTTCTTCAGCAAACTAACAGCATGTTGGCATCAGACATCAAAGACATAATTTATCCCTTCAGAACTCGATGCAGTGGTTGGTGACAACACACTTACTGAATAGGTCGCGTGCGTCGTGTTTCTTGATCACCATCGCATCTCTCATTGATGTCTGCAGCAATAACAGCAAATTGTGCTTGGAGCTGGTTGAAGAACAGATTGAACACTTTAAACTCATTTTTAAGAATGAAATAAATTATAAATCACTTGAAAGGCAGTAAGACAACACCTACTTTGGACTCCTGCTTTCTCTTGGCCATAACTTCAAGCACAGCCTTGACAACATTTTCTCTCTCGTAGTGACCAAACAAGATAATGTCTGCGAAAGAAAAATATTTTCTTTTTAAAGGGTGACACCACCTTCAAGTGTCATCTTTTAAACCGGCTGCTCAACATTGATGAAATTTGGAGTGTCCATTCATCTCTTTGCCTAAAAGTACTGTATGACATTTTATCTCCGAAGGGCAATTTTCCGACAAGCTGCAGGAGGAGGTATACAGCTATTGATGGAAGCTGCGTCACTTGGTAAGGAAATCTATCATATAAAATTGCTGCAAGAGATTGCACATTTCTAAGCTCCAGCCTCAATTCAAACACATGGGGAGAGCGGCTATCTGTTTTTTTATCCAGAAATCTGCGCTTTGTCTATGCAAAATACCAATTTGAAAAGCGTTCCATATAATGGGAAACCCAACTTTCTGCAAATAAGAACTTCATTTAAATGTTAAAAAAAAAAATCATGAGCCATTTGACTCTGAAGGTGATGACCTATGAAGCTGTTTAGCACACGACAGACCCGCCCTGAGGAGCCGGAGGAAACGAGACACGCGTGAGAGGACCGCCACCCCGGGAGAGCGGAAGGAAAGGAAACTAGGCACACAAGCGCTTGGAACGACAACAAAGAGAAGGCGGTGCGAGCAAAGACATGACACCGACGCAGGTCGCACAACGGCAAATCTTTGAGAAACCTTTATTACCTAACTGAGAGTCTAGTGATCTTGAAAATGCTGCCTATTGATAACTAATCTAGTGAATAGACCTATTGCTAAATTACCCAAGCATCAAGGAGAATGCAGGGAATGATGTTCCACGCGCTGCACATGCCAGCGTCTGCAGCAGTAACTGTTCTAAAGCAAAAGCCTAAAACAAAAGGCATTTTGCATGCGTGTTCATCAACGCTTTATTTTGGTTATTTACTTCTAATCTTTTATACGCGGCAGGAACGCATGCGGCGGTGCGAGTATAAAGTGTTTGGTCACGCACACGAAAAATCCACAAAACCCTGGCCATGAACAACTTTGCTGTAAAATAAATATCTAGCCACATCCAATTTCAGTTCAGAAACATCCACAGCAAAGAATAAACTCAGCAATTCATTGAAACAAAGCAGACAAACCCTCATGACTTTCTATAAACAAATGTTGGTTTTAGTTTCAGTTTTTTGTTAGATCAGGGAGGCCTTTCCCATTCTTGTCCATGTGCATAGCCTCTTCCACATGAAAGCTGGACTTCTATGGTGTTCTTGCCCACATAGTGTTTACTCTCGAACCAAGATGTTTAATGTAGTGAAACTGTGAAGAAATGCTTTTTTCAATGCGAGCATGATCACCATTCTAGGCCATACAGGTGTGGAGCTACAACAGTTAGAAAATAGAAAACATTGAAGTTTTGCATTTACAAAACAAATGAATTTGCATCGTCGGCTCACCGAAAATGTTTTATTTCTCCGTAAATATTTTGAAATATTACAATATAAATTTGCAAGAGTGTGCACTATTATTAGTTGTAGAACTGCAATACAAATTATTACAAGTAATTATTTAAAAAAAATTGCAATTTTAAGGTGGTGGAATTTTTCTGTTTCTAGTTTTAGTGTGTTGCACAAACACTGGCCAGCCTGTGGCATTCCCGACTTTTTGGGAAGCACTAGTGGAGAGTAGCTCACGCAGGTAATGACGTAACACTAGCTAGCATTCGTAGTAACAGGTAACATTTGTGGTAATGACGATAATGATACCAGAGCTCAATTGAAATAGAGGAAGTGGCAAGCATACTTAATTACTGTCGGCTTGTTACAAAAGCATGCGGATTTACCTGACCACAGTTGAGGCAAGTACTCGACTGCACCACTGAGGTCAACTGCCTCAATTATTTCGCAGATCACACTTGGCTCAGGAGTGTAGATCTGTATCATGGCCAAGAATAAAACAGAATAGAGCACACTTTAAAAGCGCATCAATATATGCAGCAGAGGTTAAAAAAAAAAAAATTTCAAACTTACATTTGGTACATACTTGTTGTAGATGTCAAAAAATGTGTCAATATTTTCAGTCGAGCAGAGGAGCTTGAAGAAATGTTGGCTGCAAAGTAATATAGTTTTACGAAGTATCCCAAGATGGTAGAGGTATTACTACCGCAATAACCCGAGATAGCCCCCCTAAAATTAAAAGGAAATGGGTGAAAATATAGAGTAAGCTAACTTTCGGTGAGTGATCAAAGAAGTAGTTTTAGATTTTGTGATCTGCGAAACTCGTGAATGCAAGGACGAACTAAAGACGACTGTCTCTCCCAGTCAGCAATGTCCACTTATCTCCCCTCGTGGCTAACACCATTTCTGCCGAGGTCATCATTGGCCAGGGCCCCGCAAGTACCTAAGGTGGGCTATCTTTCGGTGCTTTTGAAAAAATAGCAAATTGTGCCAAAAGTAGGAATGGGTCATCTTTCGGGGGGGGGGGGAGGGGGGGGGGGGGGCATCTCTAGGAATATTACGGTAAACAGGTAGCAATGCCACTGTCAACACACGTGGGATAGAGAATTAGGAACCATCAGTGAAGGCAGTTTTTTGTCTTAACTTTTTCATTTTTAGCAGCTTGTGGACAAATACTATTATGTTCTCATTATTAATACATTGAAAGTGCAAACCTCAGTAATCCACCCTACTACCTTCGATTCAAACATGGACAAGCTGCGAATAATTTCTCTTTTGAATGTATAGCTGAATTGAATCGTGCTCCGCTCTACTTTGCATTCCCCCTCAACCAGCAAAGTGAATGTGTCCCATAGATTAGCAGAATGTAAGTCACTCAGGTGTAGTAGTTTCCCTACCAGAGGGCACACTCTGCAGTACCTGCCCAAATGTATTGGGAGGGCATGGCCAACTTTCATTGAAATGACCACCTTTCTGTCCACCAAAAGTAGCAATGATCTTCCGGGGTCACCATTAAGGTGCAAGAAATATCGACAGGCACTGTTACCTCTTTTCAAACAAGGGAATGAAAATGTAGCGAAGTAAATTTAATGGGTTTTAGTTTCTTAAATACAAAAACAGAAAACTGATTTAAAAATTCTCAATTAAGAAAAATTTTCAACAATAGCACTCTTTTTTTTTGTAAATGCAGGCTTTGGCTGAATTATTTTGACAGACCAAGGTTTTTTCCTTAGCTTGAAAAACTCACTTTGATGGCACTCACGGCATTTGATTAAGGTTTGTATCAGTGTGATCAAGCTAGCTAACAATTCAAAAATCTGCAGCAAGATGACCAGGACGTTTTTTTATGACGGTATACCATCTGTTGTTTAATTAATCTGCAGTTTAGCCTATCATATTCTGTAAGATCTAGGCAAATATAATCTGGAAGTAAAAGTTGGGCACAGGAATATGGTTCTGACTCTTCAGATCCCCAAGGTACAGTCATAAAGGGGACTGCTGGCCTGTTGAGTCTCCTATTAGAGTTGGATGTACATAGCAAAACATAGTTTTTGAGGCGGAACCTCTATCTGGCCCCTGCTGCAACAAAATTATTTGTCTATAAAACAATAATTTACCCCAAACTTGAATATGCAAGCATTGTGGGGAACCCACATCAAAATTATCTAATATCAAACTTAGAATCAATTCAAAACAAAGCCACCCGGTTCATCCTAAACGATTGTTCTCCAGAAAGTAGTGCCTCCGCCTTAAAATCAAGACTTGGTCTCGCTTCATTAGCCACATGACGGAAAATTAACCGCATGTGTTTCTTCCATCAAGTTTACCATAGTAATGCATATTTCAGGAATATCTATTGCCATAAAGCCCATTATATTTTTTCTCGAATCGACAACACATGTAAACTCCTTCAATACCGATCCCATAATAACTCCTTCGTGTATTCTCCCTTAATACAGAATGGAATAACTTGCCGGATCAACTTAGATATCACAGCGTTTTAAGAAATGTGCATGCTTTTGTTTAATAAGTAGGGAATGTCTGATTATGTACATATATATTTTTTCTTTGTGGTTAGACGAGATGCAGTTGTGTTAATGTTCTTACATTTTTTTTTTATATTGTATTCCCATTTATTGCCACCCTCACGTAATGCGTCCTTGAAAGACAGCCCTGAGGGAAATGACATGAAATGAGATGCGAGAAAATTCTTAGGCTCAGCTGACTTACTAATAGATGGATTCCTTGAAGGAGTCACCAATCAGGTTGTAGTTTCCTCCAAAGCTCAGCAAGGCATGAACTTTGTAGGCCAGTTCTTTGTCGAGCAAATGGCTGTGACACTGGAAAGAGATCTTTCTCGTTATGCCTCAAAGGACTATACTACAGTTGCAAAATATGTACATTTGGTTCTTTGTGAGCACTATGGAGCAACATTAATAAAAATGTAACACTTGCCACATCCATTGCACTGACAAAGAAGAACACTGCAAAACAATAAGAAACAAGTCAGTGTCAACAATTGCAACGGTGCTGCACATTACTAGGCATGGGTAGAGCTTACCGTCTTTGGGATCCCGTATCTCGAAGGTCTTGTTCTCGAGCTCTTTCATGATGTTGTGCAGGATTGTACTTGGTGCGCCCCCTGAAACAGTTTTCAGTTTAGACGTCGTCCACTCCGGCTACCTGGTATTGCTGCTACAAGCAACTCAAGCTTACGTGTCTTGCAGAAGATGACCAAAAGGTAGTAGTAACTGGCAAGACTTGGTTCTGAAAGGATGGAAAATGGTTTATTGAAACTGCTCCTCCATTTACCCTATGGTATCTATTAGATCATTAGAATTGCACATTCTGCAGGACACACCATGATATGCATCGAGTGGCACAAAACCAGCAGTTGCTGGGCGTGAAACGTTGACATCTCTCTAGGATGCCCCCCAGTTTACTGCTTTCTTACCGATAGGCGGTCAAAGCAATACAAGTACACCACTTCTACAAGCACCAGCAGCCAGTTATGGTTAAAATCAGTGATTAAGTCTTGTGAAAGGTGCACACATCACTTGGATTTCATGATTCGCTCGGTTTCTTCTCCAGTTTGCAAGAATTTGCCTTTCCCACACTATGAGGGAAAGTCGGCTTTAGCTTTTGTTTATAAACTGTATGGGCTATGTGCTGAGAAACAGAGTTGAGAGGAGTAAATGAGAGCGTGTGGGGAAGTTGGATGCTGAGCTCTGGTTGGAAAAATTAGTGGGTACACCTAAAGCTAGCTGCATTTGTCTCAACTGCACTCGTCGATCACGTTCGAAGGCGAGAGCCAAGCGCCAGACGCTGTCGTTCCGCATCTCGAACGAATGGCCGTATTTCTGGAAAAGAAGGGTGCAATCAAGCAAGGACTATGGTGTCACAATGCTCCTGGAACAGTTGAGAATGAGGAGCAGCGGCCGCACTTCTCTCCTCCTCGCTTCGGCTCACCAGCTCAAAGGGACGAAGCGAAGAGGAGGGAAAGAGAATTGTGACGTCGCATGTCTCGTCAGCCCTGTTGGCAAGGTTCATTTGCGCACTTCTTTTCCAAAAATACGGCCACCCGTTAGAGATATCGCTGTACGAGTGGTGTTTTTGGGTTTTGCAGCATCTTGCCTATCACTTCAGCCTAGTTTTGTGAGCTGCAAATTTCGGTTCAGTATCCCTTTGACACTGACACATAAACAGAGTTTATTTCTTGCCATCAGGCGACGGCAATGACGGCGACAATGTCTGTACGCACATCTTATTTTCTTTAGCCCAGTTGCACTCAAGAGGTTTCTGGAGAGCACCTGATACCCACCCACTCCGATGTGCTTCATCTCAGAGAATGTCTGCAGTGCGTACTTCCTTGCAGAAGGGGAGGCACCAAACCTTGAGATTATTTCGAGAACATTGTTCATCGTGCTGATGTTGGGCTTGAGACCATCGTTCTCAATGCCCTTCATCAGCTCCTTGAGGAACGGAGAGAGCAATGTCACATCAGAAGTTTGTGCTATTTTGCAATTACTACTGCCGTAATGTGCAACTCACATTAGCGAGATCCCATCTGTTGTCGTAGCCTTCTCTGAGGAAAGGCACCAGACTCAGAAGCCCATTGTACACTTCAATGGAAGCTGCAAGAAGGACATCAACTCAATTCAGTCAGATCTTCCTCTTTTGGGAGATAAATGAAGAAAGCATCTGGTGAGAGGAGAATATATTGGCTGTTTAATTAAATTGAACAGATTTAAAAAAAGAAAACGGGGGTGAGAGTTAGACAAGTTTTGTCTTCACCATATATTTATCAGGCTCGGCGGACATTAGATAAGGGGATAATCATCAAGGTAAGTTGACTGATGAACTAAAATCCGTTAATTAACCTTTTAATTATGGATGGACTTTCAGGGTATTGACACAAATTACTATTAAAGGCCTAACCAATTAAAAAAAAATTGCAAAAATTTTTTTTTTTATGATTGACAAATTGCACACACACAAAAAAGAAAGCTGTCAATGTGACAACTTTCTTCTGCAGGCTTACAGCGTCATGTACTTTTTTGATGCAAATAAACTATTATTATTATAAAAGTATGCCGTAATCCTTGCCCACAGTGACGTTTGAAAAAGTGATATACCGTAAAATTCCATAAAGGCGCTTTCCCCCGAGAGATTGCCCATCCAGTTTTTCTGGCTAAATATCCGTAGCATAAAAATTCCAAAACATCGCCCACCTCCCGACGTGGAATCACATCAACCGCACGATCTGCGGTACTGGTATGTGTGACAAGCGGGCACGCAGTGGGTTCCCACGATTTTGTATGCGATCTGACCGCACTATATCAGTTCCCGTGACATGCAAGTTCCCGCAATTTTTGTCCGTTATCTCTGTGCACGATATCAATTCAGTGGCACACAAGTTTAGCCAGTTTTTGCATGTTTATTGCATTGTGAAAAAGGAATCTGCTGCATTCAGAGTCTGTGATATCCTTTCCAGTGACATAGGAGTTTGTAGCGAATTCCCGCGTTTTTATTGCGTTGTGAAACGCTAATTAGCCATACCCGCGATCTCCGGTATAATCTCCCATATCACGTGCAGTGATGTGATTGGCCTAAGCCGTTTTGGAGCACCTTTTGGAGCAGCCAAAACGGTGCTTTGGAGCAGAAAAAGTGGTTTTTGGAGCAGGCAAAACAGTGTTTTGGAGCAGCAAAAGTTGCTTTTGGAGCAGCCAAAACAATGTTTCGGAGCAGTAAAAGTGGCTTTTGGAGCAGATATTCTTAGAAAAATAAAAATATTTGTTTTAAGTGCTAAACGAACAAAGGCCACTTCGCTCGTCGCAATAAACAAATTATGGTCAAGTTAGACCACCTGGGAGTCTTTCAACATGTTACTGAAAAGACAATGACATGACACATTTTGCAATGCTTCAGTTAAAGGGCAGCTCCGCCGTCAATTTGAGCGTTTTTATCAAAACATATTTTCAGAAAGGGTACTAAAAATTTAACCTATAGCAGCGGTTAAATCATGAAAAAACAGCTTACATAACTTATAATCGTTAAAATACGCTGAAACCGATACCGAAACTAACTTGGCACTCGACTGGTCCGCCATTTTGACGTGATGTCACATATGGTATAAACACTCGCACGTGTGCAGTTTGAGCCTGGCCAGCCTGGCAGCAGGTCACTGTTTTGTGTTCGTGCCGCGGATAAAAATGGACTCATCAGGCTCGTCTGAATCGAGCAACGATGAGGATATGCTGCTAGATGCTGAGGACGATGACGATAACCCGTTCTCATACGATCCGCCGGCATCGCCTCCGAGAAAACCGCCAGCGGCGGCTGCATTCGTGATCCGCCGCCATGTGGACCCAGATGCCGCTTCCGAAGCGGAAGGGTAAGGCAGCTTTTGTTGCTAGCACGCCAAAAAAAACTGATCGACGTTATGCCTTTTAATTGGAGGCACTTTTTGTTATATCTTGGGGTCTGACAATAGACGGTTTTAGTAGACCGTGTTTTCAAGCGACGCTTCCACACACAACACCAATTTCCTCCAGTCGCCATGACGCGCTCTTACGTAACTGTATAAACCGATGACATAAGCAAAAAGCAGACAGTCGCTAGCACCAACTAGCTACAAAGCAAGCACCCTGACCAACATGTAACGTCACGGCAACGTCAGCGCCATCATGGCAGCCTCCGTGTGCCGCTCTTGCTCAGTGTTGCCAGTAGGGCTGCAGCAAGTGATTTGGGTGTGTACATGTAAATTTCAAAATTCATTTTCTTCTAAAAAAATTAATATTTTTCCGAGATATTTTGTACACATGCTCAGGAAGGGCATCCGAATACATGGTGAAAATTTTATAGAAATCGGTGACCATCAAAGTTACGGCGGAGATGCCCTTTAAGTTATACATATATATGTACGGTTATAGATAAATAATAACCAAACTGCAGATATTAAAATTTATTTGAAAATGACCAGCTTACTAGTAAATATCACAGCATTAGGTTGACCGACTCAGTTATATAATATAATAAATGGAAGCTGTCTCCGACTGATGAAACACGTAACTACTGCAGTGCAATGTGAAATTGTATACAAGACAAAGGTGCATTAAGACTACCGGGTGCTTTTCTTTTTGCTTCTCGAAACTTTCTACAAGGCTGCTGCAAGACTCGCTTTGCCTTTGGCTAGTAATGAATTCCCACTTTCAATGTCTCCAAATAGACATTGAGACGTCCCACAAATGAACAGTGCTGTGGGCGGGAGGCACTCCCTTGATCGAATGACGTTTTAGCGAACGCCCACGTTTCACCGAGTGACACTTTAGCGAATAGTCAAACGCCGCGAAGCGGCGTTTTCGGGTGGGCCAGTGGGTTCACATTTTTCTTATGAGCTGCCGCAGACTGTCGCCGCAAAGCGGCGTAAAGCGCAGCGCGGCGGATGGGTTAACGCGCGTCCCCGTTATTCGCTAAAACGTCGATTCGCTCAAATGTCGCTGTTCGCTAAAACGTCATTCGCTCATGTGGTATGGACCGCTGTGGGCGTTGCCGAGCAATTCCGAAAAATTGCTTGTCACCGTTTTACTGGTTCCCGACGCGCCAGATTTTCGTCAAAAGTAAGCAAACTTAAAACAATGGCTTGCAAGCGTCCCGGCTGGTGCCTCTGTCGTGCAGTCATGTCTGCGCGCACATGAGGGCAACTTTGGCAGGCTTTTATTTGCATGTGCTTCGTCGCACGAGCGGAGATGGCTGTTCGATCGAAACAGACACCATGCCACTCCGCTCCGTCGCCAACTGGTTTCCAAAATTGTATGCAAACTACGACAAAAAACAGTCCAGCGGCACATGCTTTCCTGGCCGGCAGGCGAGGTACAAGCTAAACACACAGAAAAAAGAACCTGAGCGAGTCAGGTCAAAACAAGACATCGCGAGTCAGGGTCAAAAAGCACTTAAAGGGGCCCTGCAATCATATTTAAGCGTCTCCCTTTTATGCGGTTTCCACGTCTCTTGGGGTTCGGGCAAGCCAGCGGGCACGGAAAGAGTAGCTAAATATCAGTGCGCCATATTTTAACCGGACGACATGGAAACCTCCTCCACCGACGAGGGCGACCCGCGGTACCGAAAGCGCGCAAAATGTGACGTCTTTGGTCCTGGGCTTACTACTGGTCAGAGCCACAAAAAACTTCTTTTTGGTCGAAATACAAAATATAGGTGGCACGAACCGTTTCAAATATTTATAGAAGTAGTTTTTGTTCACTATTACAGATGAAAAAAAGAAAGAAATGCAGTTTATAAAGTACGGAAACAAGAAATGACCCGTCAACATACCCGCCGCCAAGCGGTGGAAAAGGCGGCGCATACTAGAAAGGAGTAGTGGGATAAGGCGCCGACACGGGAAATTCCCGGATGTATGCGGTGGCGCTGCAGTCATATGGACAGGAGGATCCGACCGGTTCCGAGCGTTCCGAAGGCCTTCGGCGAGAGGCTTTGTCTTGCGGTTTGGCCGTTTCGCGGTATGGCAGCGTGAAGTGGCTCCCATTCTGAACTGATCTTTACCCCGTGTTTGCTGTCGTTTGTGGCCAATGAAGTGTCATGCCGAATTAGTGTTTAATCGTGCAGCAAACGCAATGAAAGCCGCTTTGGCTGCCTGCTGCATACAGCCTATCCAGAACATGCTTTAGTGGCGCCCTCTGGCGCCGTCGACACGGAGTGCGGCGGCCTTGAGCGCTCGATGAGCCCACTATTCCTCCTCTAGTTCACGGCCACTCAAGCCAGGACCTACGACGTCTTGAAGGAGGTTATTTTTTGCTTGTTTTTGTAATTCTAAATTGCCTATAACTTTTAAAATAAACCGAATTTCGCGAAAAGAAAAGTTTCACTAAGTTACTACGTTCAGTGCGCTCAGGTTCGGTGCAAATTAAAAAACAGTAAAAAGTCCTTGCAGGGCCCCTTTAAGCACTCGGAGCGCTTTGTACAACGACTGAAGCACTGAAGGGTCAACACATGCCCGCATCTATCGTTGAATTTTTTTTTTTTTTTTAAGACGCGAGACGAGACACATGAACGACGCGAGCGTGAAACGAGAGGTGGCGGGAAAAACTATGTAAAACCAGATGGATGATTGATACAGGGTACTTTTTGTTGGGCGGCCGCTTGCGCTACCTAGCTCATGCATGCTCTATTACGGTACTCAGTTTAGTTTCGGTTTTGAAAGATGACCAAAATTAGTCTTTTGGCGCAGGCTTGGCGCAGATTAGCCATATTTTGGCAAAATGTAGCATGATGTAGCAGGGTTTGCCCCTTGGTGCAGTTTGGTGCAATTGGCGCAGCAATCATATCACTGCATGTGGTCTGCAGTGGGTATCCCCTGTGTTTTGATAAAGTTTTGCTGTTTCATCCCCAAAGATAGCACACCTCCATGTTTTCCACCATTTATCTCTTCATTTTGGGTGGGCACCCTTAGGGGACTTTAGGGTACTCGTTTTTGTCACGTCGCCGTTTGTGTTGTCAAAAGGACACGCTGCTGAGATGGTGACAATATGACTGTCACCAAGGACACGCTGCTAAAATGATGACAACATGATTGAAATGACTACGTCACTCTTTCAAATGTCATTGTGGGCAGGGCTTGCCATGCTCTGTCCAAACGTAACTTTCAAATCGGGTTAAAGGGCAACTCCGCTCAATTCCGAAAAAAATAGGCTTACATGTGATTCCATTTCACGAAGCACTACTAAGCAGCTCTACGTCTTCGGATTCGCGAAATGTGGAATATTATTTGTGTAATCTTAATTTAAACATCAGCTAATACCGAAACCGAAACTTCGGTTGCATCAAGCAACATTGGTCTCGTGTGGTCCGAGTCATGGCCACGTCACGTCGAACCACGTGGTCCTGTGACGTTCGGGGGGGCGAGGGACAGGACACGCGATGCGGGCAGGTCGCTTCGCATGGCGTGGACGGTCATGGCCCGGGGGAGAGGGGGAAGGGGAGAAGACGAAACAGGAAGGGGGAGCAAAGAAACAGACCGATAAGCACGCAGGGCAGTGCAAACTAGCGCATCCGCGTTACGGTGATCACGTGGACGCCGTTCAGCCAACACCGGGAGGAGGAACTCATGACGTCATTGTTCAATTTTGCTCCGAGAAGTAAAAACAAACAAAACGTAAGAATGACGTCGTCATGCCTCTAACGTAGTGGCTCAACGTTGGCCGCTCCAACTCCGTCGCATTGACTGCGCCGACGATTGCGCCTCACGTCGCACACTAGAGTTGGCAGATTTCGGTGACTTGGCTCACTTGAAGGTTTGGTGGCCAGTTTATTAAATATATAGACAGAATTAGATCGTAATATTTGACATGGGGTCTCCTACATGATACTGAAGAGGGCTACATACTTTTCTAAATATCAAAAATGAAGCGGAGTTGCCCTTTAAAAGAAATGTGATAATTGACTGATTAATATTTAAGAAGCCTATACCTTTTTGAAAATTCCTTAAATCGGTCTGGCCTTCAATAGTAATTGCCATCAATACCCCAATTCCAACATTACCCCTAAAACAATAATTAAAAGTGAATTAAGATATTTTAGTTAATTGGCCAACTTACCACGACGATCATCTCCTCATCTAACTCCCACCCCCCTTAAAAAAAATCTGTTTGAATTAAAATGAAACATTCAATATATGTCTCAACGAAAAGCAAGTGCTCACGTGTCAGTCCCTTGCTTTGCATCTCCTTGAAGAGCTCGTAGGCCTTGTCCACTTGAAAGTGCTGAAATTAAATGGCAGAGGTTAACGAAAGAAATAGTTATGATGCTTGTATGCAAACTGAAGCAACTCGGAAGATACAAGGAAAGCACCACAACATTGGTAAACGACGCAGCTTTTTGGGGTTTTGCAAATTGCAGATACTCAATGCAGTGCATTTCTTCTGCTCCGATGATCGGAGCACGAGAGGCAGGACGAGCTTTCGGCAGGTATGGTTTGTAAAAGACAAGGATGCAGCGCCGACACTACTGTTTTGTGCACGCATGTGCAGAACCCGAGAGATTCTGCACATGTGTGGCAATTGTTCCAGAGGTGATCGTACGATGGCACATGTGTCTCGGCTGGTCGATGCTCACTTTACAAATTTGAGCCTTCGAACAAATGCATATAATAGATATCAATTTCGTTTGCATGAAACAATGTATAAGCCCCCACACCCACCTTAGCCATTCCCTGGATGACTGCTGCATAGGCCCTACTGTCCTTGTTCTCCAGGCTATCAAATACCTGCTCTGCAAGACCTCCATCCCTGAAAAGCAGGCCATCAACTGCAGCAGACATAACTCCCATTTTCCACAACGACAATAACAGGCAGCAAATGTATGGTCATTCAATCGTTAAGTATAATACTAGCGCAAGCTTGCTCGATCAAACTTTATTGGTTGCGCATGAAGAATGGCAGAGTTCGATCATGACCAGGTCACCCTAATTTATGTTTGGGTGATTTTGCCACAGCTGGGCTGTGTCCTCGTGTCATAAATAGCCAATGAAAATTGACCAGAAGAGCTTGCACCTTATACAGTAGAAGCTCATTGACAAATTTTCAGCCAATATGTATTCCCAGCTGTTAGCGTCACAAATGCTGGTCTCATAGAACACCCATAGGAATATGTGTATTGAATTCCTGCCCGTTGCGTTTTCCTTCCCGGATATAACATTACATCCAAAAAACCGCCATCCAGCACGGTGCATTGAACCGCCACGTTTTATGCTCCGTTCTCCCTCTTTTTCACACTTTTGCCTCTCTGCACCATGCTTGTGTGCTCTCGTTCGTTCAAGCATCACCTTGAACTCTGGGGCATAACCAGGGGAGACGCTCAGGTACCAAAAGATAAGCCCACACATCACACAAATGTTTCTCAAATTCAATCGTGACTGTCGCACAGAAACTCCTTGCCTTTGGTGCAACAATGCATACACATAAAAAACAAAATAATTATTTTTGCATGTGCACATATGTGTAAATCACACACTTAAGAAATATTTCTTGTTTTACAACAGTAAACATATATTGAACCGTGGTATACGCTTGGACCTCTTCCCCTCCAACCAAACCAGCAAATTAAAATGCCCACTAAAAGAAATTTCAGTCTATAAGCAACTGCTTGAACTACTAGGCTTGGAAAGGCTTTTGCAACAGTCCATTTGCCTTTCCATCTTTTTGTCCAATGCACATAAGGGCTTCCGCTGTGCTTGGTGGCTTGGTTCCCCCAATGGCATTAGTTTAACTTTGCGTGGAGTTGCATTGTGGTCGTACGAGTCAAGTTTCATTGCACTGCACCAGCACGCACGTCAAGCTTCACAGCTTTGCATCGCCATGCTAGGACTGGCGGCTGATGTGCGGCAGCATCTTGCTCAGCTAGATGGGCTCAGAAATTTTGCTCGGTCCTACAGGTTGACATGCTATGGTTGCAATTATACTTCCAAACCCTCATTTTAAATAAAAAGTTTTAAATTTTAAACTAAAAAAAAAAGAAAAAAAAAGTTAACCTGTATCTGAATAAATATGGCAGTTCTTGATGGCTGTAAAAGTCTGTGTGAGGTAAACTTTTCTTTCTGCCTGAAAACTGCCGGTCGAGAATTGGCCGGTTTCAGTCGCGCTCACTCTTGTTTTTATGGTCTAATGGCATTCAAGCTATGTATACCAAATACATTCAAAGTCGTGAGTTATCTAAGACACATTCAATATTCAAAATAGAAAAGAATATGAACCCCATTTTTTGTGGCCTCGAAGGAGCTGCAAGTACGCCGATAGAAAAAGAAAAATGTTGCACAGATCACAGGAAGTACATGTACACGTCATTCTCAATACGGCGATGTACTGCGGGCTGGACGACACGATGGGGGCGCATGATGGACCAACATTGTGACGGACGTGGGGCCGCTACTTCGGAACCGTTGTTCGTGATACTGGCCAATCAATCTTCAAGCGCAGAACATTGAGCGGAAGGGATGTAAGTGCGAAACGATCGTACGACAAACAGATCATGCAAGTGCGTTGTCATCATCGTCGTCTGCCTCAAAAACCAAAAAAGCGTAGGAAAAAAAAAAGTGGTCAGGTGCAGCTACGCAATTTCTGGCCAGAAGCTTCTGTGCTCGCGTTTCGGTTTCGAGCAGTTGAGGTTTTTGGTTTTATTAAAAATATAGGTCACTCTGCAGCAAAATAGTGATTGGGTAGTTTTATGACACCATATTGAATTGTCTAACAAAAAATTAAAAAAAAATGTTTTTTTGGAAAGGGGGGGGGGGGGGGGTCAGTGTTTTTTTTAATGATACCATAAGCAATATGAAGCAAAACTGAGGGGAAAAGGAGATGGGGTACAGTGAGAGGGGGTGACCATGAGTGTGACAAAGCTCCACCCCAACAGCCGCCCTTCGGTCCGGAGCAGACAACCACTTGGCCTCGGGTTCCTCGGTCGTTAATACACGTCGGGTAGCTGTAAGCCGACAAGAACAACGTACTCTTCGAGGTATATCCTCTCCCCTTTCACGCAGGCTAAGTCCTTGTTTGTAAAGAACTAGTGTATCTCCAAAAGCTGCAGAGAAGGTAAGATAGTGATTGCTCAGACTAATAAGTGATGTAGGCGTTCGGAGTTCAAACGCCAAACTCTAATGTCACTGCTATCTCTGCGCGGGGAGCAGACAACCATCTTGTTCACTCAGACAGGAGGAAGGCGGTGGGTAAAAACAAAGGCAGGTAGCCTTTGCATCTACCAACCACCCTTCCAAACGAAGTCTGGACCTCTGACGTAACTCCGCCCACTGCACAAGAAGCACTGAACACTTATCTTCACCTCTCCTTCAGTTTTGCTTCAAAAACAAACAAAAATAAAAAAGAGAGAAAGGAAAAAACTATTATGGGAGAGATTACTTACTTCCAGGATTTTCTGGTTTCCCTTGGGGCCATTTGGCGATGCCAGCGCTCCTAAAGGGCACAGATGCCACAGGCACAATACATTTGAGAAGCCATTCCCTTCAGCTTGCCCAAAAACACGCTTAAAAATTCTGCCCAGGTGACTTGCCTCTGTCAAATCTTCATCCAGCGGTTGTTTGCAGTTGTAGAAGCAAAGCAGCTCCAGCAAAGATTGCAAAGACTCCTGTGAAACTTGCACTCCTTAAAGCCAAAAGGAAGAGCTCCTAGAATCCAATGCTACTAAAACAGACAGGATGACACTGATGTATAAATGTCACTACCTTTAGTCTTCAGATTATGATACACCACAATGGCACTGTCCACATCTGCAGCATCGACACATTTCGTGAGGTCCATCTCCACAACATCACTTTCTGCTGTGTATTTTTTCTTGGCATTGAACGCCTGCAAACGCACCAAGAGCCAACAAAATTATGGATTATGACGAAAAGGAGCATCTTAGTCTCAACGAAACACATATAAAACATTAACCTACCTCTATGTTTGGTTCTGCGGGGTTATTATAAAAGCTGTTTGGGTATTTGTCCAGGAAGTACTTGGCTGCTTTTCGCCCAGATTCCTTTGCAAGGGCATATGTTCTCTATAAAGTAGGCACACATTATTCCTGTGGTTTTTCTGTCGTCACCGCAGTCTCGGGTAATTCTACCATTATCTACTAACATTCCACCAGACGTGACAGAGGAATCATAGGAGATGCCTTACTTTGGCCACATTACTGGCTGGTATGAAGAACGGGTCATCATGGTACTTGTAGTGAGGGGCAGTATAATCCTGTCAAACAGAGGTATTCCAATCAAATGACGTGTTAGTTCTTAAACCATAAAACAAAATAAAGTAACACAACATCTTACTTGATCAACCGTAGATGCCAGAGCCTTCAGGATATCTGTAGGCCCCCTACATTTAAAAAACAAAACAAAAACGTATGTAGCAGGAAGCCACTGCATTCTCTATCGGTAGACGATTAACTATTGGCGAGGAGATCGAACCACAGAGGGTGCAGCTTTATCATCATCATCACCACAAACAATCGCTGTGTGGCAAACAACTCCGACACCAGCATTCGCCTAGCGTACGTCAACGTCACTGGGTCAGATACGTTGACAAGCTCCGAGAAAAAAGTTATGCGCTGCCATTCACAGCTGAGCAGCGGAGCTTGTGTCACAGCCCGCCCAAACCATTCAGCCCGACTGGCCTCGGCACCGCTTAGTACCCGTGGATATGCAGTGAAACACACCATCTTTGTGTGGGTTTACAAAGTGTATTACCAACAACTGTTGCCAGTTTGATAATGTCCAAATTAAAACAATTTTTTCTGGGACCTCTGAGGTAAAATCACGCCCGCCGGGCAAGGCAAGCAACTCGGAGAAATGGCTGCGTCTATCGTTTGTGGTTTCCGGCGCATTGACCGTTGTGCTTGGTCGTTTGCGGACTATAATACTGTGAACTTCCCTCTTCTGGTGTTCTGTGTTTGTGTCAGAAGTTCAAGCGTAAACTGCTGTATAAATACCAAAGCCGCATTGCATTAGGAAAGAATGTGAATTTGAAGACGTCTTCGTCATTTGAGGGACGCGGTCTGTTTTTGTACTTGTATTCGGCTACGTCGAGGCCTACTGCTGGCGAAAACGACTGTCCCTTGCGTGTGCGGTCCATTTCTGAGACGCGTGACTGAGGGGTAAGAATTTCAAGACATCACTTCCAGTTAGCTGATCAGCGTGGATTCGTATGTGTATACTTCGTAGATTTACGTATAAATGTACGACAGATATTAGAACCGTTATTTTACAGTACCTGCTACAGCCTCGCGGAAACAGTGTATGAACTGTGAGACACTCTTCTTGTCTATGTGAAATGAGTTCATTTGTGTAAGCGTATGCACGCTCCATGTGCTTGACAGCAACATGCTTGTTGACGTGTTTATAAGTGCGCATTAATTAAAATTCGCTTTATGTTAACTACTATTTTTTTAACACTGCAGCTGATTAAAAGAAATTCATGATCATGTTGTTTAATTGATCTCATGATGCTTCTGCAATCAATTTCAAATCAAAATAAAAACAATTTTAGCTACCCTGAGAATGCAACATAGGAAGGCTGGGTTGCAAAGACCACTTAGAAAACTTTACTGCCTCTTTGTTGTAACGCGTATGCACTTCTACGCGAGAGACGTCAATCGAGAGATAACGGAGAAGGTAGCACTAGCAAACAAGAAAGCTTGGGTCCTGTGATCACCAACTACAGGTATTTTCAGCCTTGGTACTTTGAATTCTGGTCACAACTTTTTCAGTGAAAAAAAATAAACATTGCATAGTATTCATCTAACAGGTATTTTCAGCCTTGGTACTTTGAATTCTGGTCACAACTTTTTCAGTGAAAAAAAATAAACATTGCATAGTATTCATCTACAATTTTAGCCTTGATAAAGATTTGTTGTCGCAACCACACCTCGGCAAACCTCACTCATGAGGGCCCTCACTCACCCTCATCTTCACAACTGAGGTGAGGGTGAGTGAGTTTCTCAACCAAGAAAGTTAAAGAGTGTAGGGGTGAGTGAGGACCGTGAGGTCGTGAGGGGTGTGAGGGTTGCGAGTGCGTGAGGGGCATGAGGGCGGTGGATGCGTGAGGGCCGTGAGGGTGGTGAGTGCGTGAGGGGTCGGAGGGCCATGAGTACGTGAGGATTGTGAGGGCCATGAGTGCGTGAGGGGCGTGAGTGCGTGAGGGGCGTGAGGCCCGTGAGGGTGAGTGAAGGGCTGAAGGTGAGTGCGACTGTAAGGATGAGGGTGAGTGAGGGGCTGAGGGTGAGCGTTGCTGTGAGAGCCTTAGGTGAGTGCAACTGTGAGGGTGAGGGCGAGTGAGGGCGACCTAAAATGCCAACCTCTGGTGGCAACAAATAAAAGGTAGAAAACATTCTGTTCATTTTCCTGTGACAAATATGTAGGAGCGTTTATCGAGAACTGGATACCGCACTGACAGAGCATGCGAGCCTCGTCTTCTAGCCTGTCCCTTCCCCCAAAAAGAACTAGGAAAGAAAGATAATTCCAAAAGCTCAAGTTGCGAACAAAATTGAGCAAAGAGAAGCGATTCGGAAGGGAGGAGAGAGCTAAAAAATACACTCTGCATGCACGCACGCACAAAAAAAATCTTTTCATCCCAAAGCGTTTGCCCATGAAGAGAAGCGATTCAGAAGGGGAGATAAGCTAAAAAAAAAAGAAAAAAAACTTTGCATGCATGCAAAAAAAGAAAAAAGGAAAAGAAAAAATTTTTAATGCAGGGTTACAAGGCAGAAGTGAAGAAATGAGAAAGAGAGAAAAGCTCTCGCCTTACAACGAACACATCATGGAAGTTCGTTGTAAATGTTTTCTGCTATTTTGAACTACTTGCTATATCGAAGAGATCGTAGTGTTTCCTGCTTTTCGTTATAAACAGGTTTGACTGTACACGAGCATAAAATCACACTCTGAAGCTCGACCCAAAGCTAAGCACTTATGCTTCTGTCCGTTGAATTATAATGTAAAAATCGAAGAAATCATTGACTTGCATATTTACAATCATGTGACTGCAGCGGAATCTACTTGCAGTCTATTTCTTAAAAAAAAAAAATGCGTAAGGGCCGCCGACGTGCCACCGACTGCCTGATTGCGCAATGAAAAGCCAGCATCTTGAGCTTGCCCAAAGCTTCGCCAGCCTTGCGGACCGGGCCGGCTGTGACGACAGCGCCAGCGTGCTTGTGCGAATAGAGGGGACCGGCATTCCGATGCGCGGCTAATGCAGAGCTTGTCAGCTGAGCTGATCAGGTAACGCTAGCGTACGCCACATTGCTTCCACGCTAGCTGCATACTTGTTTATAGCGATATGTTGCACACTTGCTGCGCACCACAGTGCTCAAAGCATCCTTTTGAACTGGGTATATGCCAAGTGGAGGACTGCGGCACGTACGCGGCGATGCAAACACTGTCTGCCGTCGGCTCTGGTGCAATGCTGCACTTAATGACATGATCGCAGTTGGGCACATACCCTCCTTCAAAGAGAAACTGCTTGCTTTTGCCGATATTGTCCATGATTGTCGCAAAAGACAGTAACTGAAAAGTGAATATGTGTTTTGTGAATCATTCAGAAAAACACGGACGCAGCGCCGGCCACGCACGATCCAGCGCGCGCAGCCCACATGTTACGGCTGGCCGGCGCGCACGCATGTGACACACGTGTTTGTTTTGACTTTCAAGAGGACTTCGAAGACATTGAACACAAGAAAGGACTGAATCACTTCTGTCTAGATGCGGTTAAGAGAAAAGAATATTGTTACGTATCTTTCACGAGCCTTGCGTTGTCGTCTTCCATGGCAGCGGACGCACTAATGACTGTTGTCGGTGGGTTTGTTTGCCACAGTGTTAGTTCTGGAAGTGGCTGCTGGGTAGCGCCACTCCTCGATCTCCTCCCCAATACTCGGGTTCACTAAAACCTTGCAGTTCAGTCAAAGCTACAGGGGAGAGAGTGCATGCCAACCTGTTCAAGAGGAGGGAAAGGAGGAATGGGAAAGAAAAGCTGGGATTGCCCTGTTCTTCCTTTCCCTCCTCTTGAACAGGTCGGGACACACTCTTCTTCCGTAGCTTAGGCTGTACTGCACGGTTTTAGTGAGACGGAGTATAAACATTGTCTTGGAGACTTACCTGCGAATTCTTTTCGGTATGATGATGGTATCTCGGTCTCCAAAACCTGCAGTTTCAGAAACAAGAAAAAATAATACAGGAATTGTATTAAGTTTGAACTACACAGACGTCTAGGCTTACCTGCAGGCGGGGTGCCTGCTGCGGGCTGTGCTGAAAGAGACCTAATGCAGGCGCTGAAAACGAGAACGAAAAGGCACCGGGTCAGGCCAAACCGGTGTATCGCAAGCCATGTCTGCTAAAAAAAATACAACGATTAGACTTCTCCAAAGTTGACTATTTTTGAACGAATGTTTTCTTTCAGTACCCATCTAACGTTAAATCAACAATAAATATCACTTACTGTGTCGCGAATAGTAGTTTCTTGTTGTAAACATACTCGCGGCATGCAAGCACGCTGCGGGCCGCCATGTTAACTTGGCTTGGATTGGATTGAAAATTTGTAATTTAGCGTAAATTCGTCTCTTATATTTAGTCTCTATTACAACCATTACACCAAGTCCAATTATTTAATACAATAGAATTTTAGTTGAGGTGTGAATACTAGCTTTACTTAGAAGTTATATTGTTAATTTAAAGTCACTCTTACCAACGCTAACGGTAACTCACAAAGGAATAAATTAAAGACGCGCTAAACGTACCGACTGGTGCGTTTAGATGTCCAAAAAAGTCGTCTCTCGATTTTCGCCTGATGACGTTCGAAAAATGTCAACTTGTCGTCGGTCGCGATCCTGGCGGCGTTCCAGCGGCGGTGGTGAATGTGCCAGACCTGCCAGACGCCTGTTCTTTCGTAGGTCGGTCTCCAAAGTGACAGTTCACGGAAGTTTCAGCAGCCAAAAGTTGAGACGCATGACGACAGCGACACTTGTGTTCGCTCGTGCTTTTCGCCAGCATTTCTATGACCAACCGCCAGGATCGCGACATGCAACAACATGATACTTCAGCTTTTGTGACGTCATTTGTTTCCACTTCGAGACCACTTTTGATGTATGGGCAGCACACAAGCAGCACAGGACCCTAAACACATCACTCAGAGACGCGCTCCAGGACTCCAGGCACCGTAGTGCCGTAGTCACCGCGTTACTGCTCACGTCACGTGCCAATGGCGCCACTCGTGTACCGTGTTTCTGTGAATTACACCGCCGTGAAGTCGTGATTTACCGGCTCCGAACCGTCCGACCCTCCGAACTCTGACTGTGTCAAGTTGCAGGCGTGACCTTGTAGCGGAAGTGGTTGTGCGTCGTGCTGCATGATTTAATCCGGGAATGCCTGCACCTTCAACGTCGGACGCAGGACTGAGGTTTGTTTTTCTCTCTTTGGTTACGATCGCAGCTACAACTTCTCTTTTCGCGGAAGTCAGATGTTCAGTCCAACACATAGTTGGCGTGACGACGGTCTCTCGTTCGCTTCGGTCTACACTTTGGGATAGATACGTAAATCGTATCCATCGTGGCACAAATTAGACATGAGAATTTCAGTTTCCCTGTTAGATCACTTGTTCGCTGCTCTGATTTGCTTCGATCACAACGGAGCGCTTAGGGCCCTCGTGCTTCGTCGTGGTAATGACCTCGATGAAGACGTCGACCTGAAGTACTAGTATCAGGTGTCCAGACCTGTGACATTATATTACAGTGAATGAACTCTTGATCCGTACGCTCTTTTTGCCGTGCACGCCACACAAGCACGGATCTACGCCATGACTGCTTTGGTCTTGTATTAATTTAAAGTTATTACGCGTGATACTAATTGTGTAAGTGAGGAATTAGTCTGTGATCGGTCAGCGGTGCGTTCGTTGTATTCTCTGCAACGAGGAGGGCAAGAGTTCACGGTCAACTGCTCACAAGGAAGCACCACTGTAAGCCGCTGGATATGGCGTTTGTTTGAGGAAATACGCGCCACGCTCTCTCTGCGCTTGTCGCTCATCCCCTAACGATGTAGATGAGGAAGAAAATGGTTATCTTCGACTCATCTCTATTTTTCTATCCTTTTACGCAGCGTAGCTACGCAGCGACCGAATCACCGCGACGGAATTGCTTGTTGCGCAAAGGGGTACTCGAAAGTTCTCAAGTTGAGCTCTTCGATCACGATGTCGCGTTGATACCTCGTTAGCGTTTGATCACCTCCGGGAGGGGAGGGTTTGCGAATGGTCCGATAGATTCGTTTGTTGGCTTTCTTCTGACAATTTAGTCTCTTTGCACTCAGCATCTGCTGACTTGTATTGACGCCTTTTCATTTTGCTTCCTGGTGACTCGGCTGCAACTTAAAGGGGCCTTGCAGTCATATTTAAGCGTCTACCTTTTTCGCGGTTTCCACGTCTCTTGGGGTTCGGGCAAGCCAGCGGGCACGGAGAGAGTAACTAAATATCAGTGCGTGATATTTTAACCGGACGACGCGGAGACCACCTTCACCGACGAGGGCGACCCGCGGTACCGAAAGCGCGCAAAATGTCTTTGGTCCTGGGCTTACAACTGGTCAGAGCCGCTCAAAGCTTCTTTTTAGTCGAAATACAAAATATAAGTGGCGCGAACCGTTTCAATTAATTATAAAAGTAGTTTTTGTTCAGTATTTTAGATCAGAAAAGAAATGAATGCAGTTTCTAAAATACGAAATCAAGAAATGACCCGTCGACATACCCGCCACCAAGCGGTGGAAAAGGCGGCGCATACTAGAAAGGAGTAGTGGGATCAGGCGCCGACACGGAAAGGTCCCGGATGTACGCGGCGGCGCTGCGGTCCTATGGACAGAAGGATCCGACCGGCTCCGAGCGATCCGAAGGCCTTTGGCGAGAAGCTTTGTATTGCGGTTTAACCGTTTCGCGGTATTGCAGCGCGAAGTGGCTCCCACTCTGAACTGATATTTACCCCGTGTTTGCTGTCGTTTGTGTCCAATGAAGTGTCATACCGAATTAGTGTTTAATCGCGCAGCAAATGCATTGAGAGCCGCTCTGGCTGCCCGCTGCATACAGCCTCTCCAGAACATGCTTTAGTGGCGCCCTCTTGCGCCGTCGACACGGAGTGCGGCAGCCGTGAGCGCTCGCTGAGCTCACTACCCCTCCTCTAGTTCACGGCCACTCCAGTAACCAAGGACGTCATGAGGGAGGTTATTTTTTGCTTGTTTTTGTAATTTTAATTTGTCTATACACCAACCCAACTCTCCTACGTCACGCCGCGGTGGTGGCGCGCCGGACGCACTTCCGGTCTGGGGCGGTGGGCAGAAGTCGCCGTGCGAGACATGCATTCTTGTGTTCTTTTGGAAGAAACGAGACAAAAAACCTGCCTTCTCGTCAAAATGCTGCGATGGGGGCTGTACCAAAAGAGTCTGGAAAGGTTTGAAGATCAGTTTTCATGTGTTTTTGTCCCCTCCGTTCGTCCGAGAACGTGGATAGTAGCCGTGAAAACGGCAAACCAGACGCTGTCGAACTACGATTGAGTGTGCGGGCAACAATTTGTGGTCGCCAGATGTATTTGCTTTGTTCCAACATAAACGAGAGAAAACCCACAAGCTGTCCGGACCACCCACGGGTTCAGTGCGTCTTCAAATTCACACGGCCGCCTGATCGTTCGAACTTTCGTCTGCTCTTTCAAAGTTGTCTGCTTTTTGTCGTCTGCTCGTTCAAACAAAAGCGGCCCGTAGACCAAACTTTGACCCGGTGATTGCAATAAGAAGTAATTGCAGGCCTCAAAAGGCTTAAGTAGGCTCGGTGTAAACAGTAGATACCAGATGTTAATTATTGGTACCGGTGGCCATTACCTACTTGTTACGCTTGGTCCGTTCCCGCTTCCGATTTTCAGTATCGACGTCGATCATCGCCGCTACCTTTTACACTTTTGCAGCACGAGCGACGTCGCGAACGAAAATAGCTACAAGAATCTCATGATGGTTTTGGCGTCCATTCTGTGGCGTTCATGCGAATGAATCGCCGCACGTCAAATTATTTACGGAAAGTTTAGCGGTGTAACGAGCCTTGATAGTTTCGCTCAGGCGATTAAAGTGGTAAGGCATTGCTATGAGGACGTAGAATCGACAATTCCAATGCGAAAAAGAGTATGCAGACTCACACAGACGCCGACAACGTGACATTCGAATGGTTTGTTGACGCGGGACGGGGTGCTTCTTGTCCGTACTCCATTGCGCGTGCGTTCGAACTGTCGTCTGCTCTTTCAAACTTGGCTGCTTTTTGTCGTCAGCTCGTTCAAACGACAGCGGCCCGTAAACCAAACGTTGACCCGGTAATTGCGATAAGAACTAAGTGCAGGCCTCAAAAAACTTTTGAAGGTTGGTTGGGGAAAGTCGGCTAAGTGTAAACAGATACAAGAAGTTGTTGATCATTGTTACCAGTGGCCATCAACGACTTCTAATGCCCGATTCTACTTGCGGTTTTCAGTATCGACGTTCACCACCTCAGCTGCAGTCCACGCTTTTGCTGCCCGAGCGACGTCGCGACTGTAAATAGCGAGCAGAATCTCATCGTGGGAGTCAGGCTTCAGCGCCCATTCTGCGGCGTGCACGTGAAATGAATCGCCGCACGTCACATTATTCACGCAAAGTTTTGCCTCGATAGTTTTGCTGAAGCCGCTCAAGTAGTCAGGCATTGTTAGGAGGACGTAGAATAAACAATTCCAACGCAAAAAAAGAGCACGGGGACTCCCACCGACGCCGACAACAACGCAATTCAATGGTTTGTTTATGGGCGACGGCGGGCTTCTTGCCCACCATCCACCGCGCATGCGCGGCGCCGGTGGCGTCCGCTAGGGGCGCTCCGGTTTGTTTGTAAACATGAGTTGGTGTATAACTTTTAAAACAAAGCGTATTTCGAGAGAAGAAAAGTTTCACTAAGTTACTACATTCAGTGTGCTCTGGTTCGGTGCAAATTAAAAACCAGTAAAAAAGACATTGCAGTGCCCCTTTAAGTATGGATTTACTCCTCATGCTTTTAACCTATTCTTGAATTGGCCTTGGGTCAGGAATAGCCGCCAGGATGGCGACATTCCATTACATGCAGTCCGTACATAGTAGTAGGGATGAAGATTAAGACATCCTCAGCAGTCTGAAGGGATGCATGCTAATGTGCCTTCTTCCCTTCCCTCCTTTGTCTCCTTGGGTCGATAGTTTCTGGGAGGACTTCAAAGTTCTCACAGATATGGCCCGTTTTCTTCGGTTGACCCACCACCTGACTTGTCCGTGACGGCCGAGATAGGGCGATGCGCGCCGAAAGAGATTGACGAGAGAGCGGGCATTTAGATCCGGTTTGTGCGTACTTGAACTCTGGATCTTTTCGGCCTTTCTTTCTTTTACAGTTCAAGTTCTTCGACAATGTCTAGCCACTTGATGTACCGATTGAAACTGATTTGGGAGACTTTCTTGTTTTTTACCCAGTGAGTGGTAATGGGGAGGGATGTTTTATATGCATATTATAGAGCAGGAAAATTGATGTGCTTGACTTTATGGTGAATCTGGTTGCATATTGCAACTTTGAGCACATGTAGCCAAAGCTTGCGTCGTAGAATCCAGGGATCATTCTATGGTTTGATCTACGCCCCTGCCCGTTCTGTCGGGGACAAGCATTGTATCGGCGGCAGTTAAATAATCCCTGCTGTAGATCCACATTGAAGACCATTATTCAGCAGTGCACTGGTCAATCACCCATGGGTGAATGGACGCTAACGGCTGTATCCTTTATATAGGGCGGTAGCTTGCGCCACCTAGCCTAGAAACTAAAAACCAAAAGTAAGACCCCTCCCTTCGCCCTTTTCAGCCAGTTTGCTTCCCCTCTGCAATCTTGTAACTATCACTAGTCAGTGCAGGATATCACCAGAATGACCTTTGAGGGATTGGGCCGAAATAGTAAAAACATCATTCCCTGCCTCTTTCCCCCAGTGAGGGAATTGCCAGTTTTCCTGTGGTCAAACCTATTCGGCATTACCCCAGCACTGGGCCCACTGGGAGTCAGGGTTCAGACTTTGGACCAGAGCCATGCGAGAGAGTTCCATTTTTCCTCCGCTGGGGACACAGCTGCTCCCAGCTCTGTTAGTTGTACGTCTACGGTGTTTGACTCATGTAAACATTCTAGTGTTTCATTTTTGATCTAATACTTCAGCTGCCATTGAAGTTTTTAGTCAGTGTAGTTGCTAGTTGTGCAACATTTAATTAGGTTTTTTTATTCAGACATACTGCTGAATCTGTTGAGAGCAGTAGCGGGTGTGTTTTGTACACTGAGTCATAGGAGAGAAAATGAAACCATCTTTGGATATAGAATATAAAGATAGGATATAGTGCGATAATTTCCGACACATATTTCAA